GTGAGAAGAATGGGCAGTATCAAAGTGCGGTGAAGAATGATATCTGGCAGTTATGTGTGTCTATACAAGTATTTCTTATTGCCATTTGTTCAGCCATAGTTTGAAGTTACAATGGCACTGGATGAAGTGAACTTAGAAGTAACATTCAGGATATAGCCATTGTAATACTTCCATGGTCACATGATCAAGTTCAGCCCACTCACATTTATGGCTAGTATTGACTACAGGGATGCTTCAGCTCCTTCCACCTGCCTGTCTTTCCCCCCCCCCCCATGCCTGCCCTTTTGGATGCTCTGCATAGATGCATTTTCTATGGTGGTGGCCCAGGGCCCTCAGAAATCTCAGCCAGCTGCTACCACCCACACCTCTACTTCAGTTCCACTTCAGTTCCAGTTCTCTGCTTCAAGCCCTCACACTTAGCCACCCCATGCCATAGCACAAAGCCCCAGCTGCCCCCCAGCTCTGCAGGCTCTGCTGTGCCCAGAGATAAATGATTAACCTTTAGCTTTCTCAACTTTCTAGAACAGAAGACTCCAAACTTGACAACTTTAAAACTAGTGGATTTCCACTCCCAGAATTCCTCAGCTAGCTAATTCTGGGAGTGGAAGTCCACAAGTCTTAAAAGTTGCTAAGTTGGAGACCCCTGTTCTAGAATAATTATACTAATATCATGGCATTTTAGCTAAGGTTTGTTGAAGAAGCCAAAAGGATTGGGGTTTACGTATAGCACCAAACAAGAAACTATGGTTTGTAAATGACAGAATTGGTTTTATAGGTATGCTATTCCAATGCTAGACAAATGAAATGAGTGCTCAAATATGTATTTGGTTACTTAGGTAACCAGTATAGAATTGGTGAACTTTGTCACATAGCAATTAATCCTGTAGAGAATTTAGGACTGGGTTTAATGGATCAATTGACAGCTAAGGTTTCAAGGTTACTGGATGGTTAATTAGAATAGAAGGACTTAATGAAGTTTGTTACTATTTACTGAAACAAGTTATGCAAGATGCTTGACATCAAATCTTCCTTTTCATCTTCTTCTAATTCCTTACTAACAATATATTACTAATGATATACATTGATTCCTCTTCTATGATCAGAGCACTGAACTGATGGAACAACTCCATATATAAACTGGTTCAAGGCATATTGGTGTTTTAGAAAACTTTTAAATTTAATATGAGGTATGGTTTCTACAGTGTATTTTATAGATTAGCATCATCTGCCAATCAGTCCATTGTGGCTTAGATAACAAATTATGATTAATGAAATAATAGATAGGCATACTGTGTAAACATAACCACAGAATATAAGTAAACAAAGATGTTTGACATTTGATTAAAAATGATTCTAAGATACTCTTGTGTTTGTGATGTTTGTTCACATGTTGAAATGACTTCCATGGGTCATATATCAAACATTTTACTTCCACAATCCTATGCTCTTTCTAGTAGTAGTCAAGGGTTTTGGGGTTTTTTTTTTTGAGGTTTTTTTTTTAATGAAAAAGTGAAATTCTTTAATAATTGGATCCTGGAAAAAGAACTTTTGCCAGTTGAGCAATCCTATTAGTAAAGATTGCCATCTAAAGCAGAGAATCATGTTTAAAAATAATACTGAGTAATAATAAAAGGCATTGTTTAACTTATTAATATTTATTGCATTTTTATGCAAATTCATGAAATACCAAAAGTGAAGATATGTGGGTGTGTTTATGTATTCATTATTATTTATTACTTTGCAATCACTACTTGATTAAACTGTTTATGCCTCACTTTTATATCCTGCTGTCTGGGTTGAAATGCTGTCTGAACAATTTACAAAATAAAAACAAAACAAAATCTGTCTGCCTCAAAAGTTATAAGGTAAATTAGACTTTAAATAATTCTCCCCAAAGAAGGAAAATAAATCAGGGGAAGAGAAAAGCAAAGAGCACCTAGAGAATGAATTTAGCTTAGGGCTTCTCACGCATTACGATTTTGTTGAATATATTGAAGCTTGGAATGGGCTAATTAGTTCCCCAAAGTTACCGTTGTGATGAGAGTTGGCAAGGAAAGGAATCAGTGCTCAGTTCTTCTTGTAAGGATCTACTGAAGCTCCCCACTGGGTGCAGAGGTGGGGTTTTCTTTTTTTGGCACTGAGCTTCATTTCTAGCATTGCTGTTCCAGCCCAGAATCTTTCCCACATAGGCTTTTCTTATAGCTGTCATCCAAAACCATAAGCAAAAGATGATTGTTTCATCTGGATGAAGAAATGTTTAATTGTTATTCAGATGTTATTACCATCAGATGTCGATGAAGCACAGCTGTCATTGTCCCTGTCTGCTCACTGATCCATTTAGAAGTGATGAGAGTTTGGAATTCAGCAGTATTATTACCTAAATGTTGGTTGTGGGTTCTCCACCCCTGTGCTAAACAGCAGACTGCCTTCTCTTATGTATGCTTCTTAATTGTTCATTAAGAGCATTATTTTCCATTTTGGATAGAAAATAGATGCCTGGTGTCCCCTAGACTTGAAATCATAAAATGTATGAGCTGGAAAGTACTATAAGTCATATAGTTTAACCATCTGCTGTAGGAATCCACTGAATCCACTTATTTTGGCCACACCATATGGGGGAATTCACCAGAGAAAGCAATTGTGTTGGGAAGACTTAGAGGTAAAAGGAAACCAGGCCATCAAAGAACATGATGGCTGGACACTATCAAATCTGACACCATAGAACAACTCAAAAAAGTA